TACTCTTTTGTCACGAAAGCTTATTACCATTTCCAAATCCTGACATTTTATACCGTTTGTTCCTTTACTTTCCCTCCCCTCAACAGTTGCAGGGCAACAATAACATGTTAACTGAAAACCAAACAGAGATTGTAGTTTTTTGCATTTGCTGACATGTGCAAACTGCATATCTATTTTAAAGAAAGCTTTATATAACATATAAGGGGAAGTAAAGAGAAAAAGCAATTCAGTACGGTGATGGAAAATGATTGTCATAAAAGAAACTATAACCCCAAATTATTTGTCAAAAGGTTGCATTTTAGTGGGAGTGCTTTCAATTATAATTATAATCTTTTAATTATAGTTATAATCAGGAGAAGAGAGGAGGCAGTTGCAGAACTAAAAACAGTAAACTACAAGTCTATTTTACTCAAATTGAAGGATTACGACTATGGCAGATGAGGGGTTTTCCCACATTCTGGGAAAGACCCCACTCTGGATTTTTTTACAAAAATTCACTGTATTTAAGTGATAGGAATTTACTAAAAGGAAGGTGACTTAGAAAAGATATACATTTTAAGTAGAGGTATGCAACCACATTTATTGTCATGTTGCATTTTCTGTGCATTAACAATCTGCATAGAGCATTTTTTCCATATGTTATGTATGTTTGGAACAAAGCTGCCAAAAGAAAAATTGTAGCCAGTGTGTATGTATATGAAATTTCAGAAATTTTCAGTTATGAAAATTGGTATGTGAACTTACAAAATACGTGCCTTTTAATGTTTGTTTCCTAAGGCAAGTAGCTAAATAAGATCATCCAAGCCCTTGATTATATGTAATGTCTATACAACATCAGCTTTCCTAACTTCATGTTTGGTAGATGAGTTGGGTTTCAAATTCCATAATCTCATTGACTAAATTGGCTGCAGATTAAGGAAGTTAATATGGAAGGCACAGAATTGAGGAGATCTGATTTATTCATTTTACTAAATTTCCATGCCTCTCATCTCGCCAAGGCAATTCCAGGTGACTTATAGTCATTTATAGCATCACAGATCTGCTGGAATGTAGCCTCAGCAGCTATCATAAATTTTCATTATAGATGTTATATATTATATATGTGATCAATCAAAAATTGCATTTAAGCAGTATTGGACTCTCCAGAGACTACATCTGAGAGAACAGGTTTTGTGATCTTGAACTAAATGACAACACTTTGGAATGTAACTCATTGGAAACTTAATTATGGTTTTATCAAGCATGAGAGTGGCTAAAAGTCAGTTTAAGAAATTGGAAGTGATATTATTCCAGATCAGAAATGTGTGATCTTGTCAGATGCAATCAACCAGAATCACCTGTAGATAGGCCCAAACAGATACTTTATTGTTAATCACCTATACTACAAGAATTTTGCCAGACTGCCTGTACATATAGACCTAAGGATTGATCTCAGACATTTCCTCCTTTGAACTGACTCTAAACTGGAATGTCTCTTTAATTCCCCTGGCAGAGCCCCATCCACCACAGAGCCACAATTCCACATTTTTGGAAAAAGCAGTATTTTCTACTAATCAAAAGATACAGCAATATATGTTAGTATAGCAAAGATACTGTGATATTTTACAGTTAATGTTTTGTACTGATTATATTAGTGTATTTATTAATAAACCAGTGAAAAATAGTCCACAACGTATGACCACAATTAGACCCAAAATTTTGGTTGTAAGTCATTGTAATTGTTATGCAAGCTATCCACATAACAGCTTCACTCAATGACTGCAATCTCAGTCCCAGCTGTGGTTGTTAAATGACTGCATGGGTCATTAAACAGACAGAATGAAAGAGCTGCCTGCTAATAGAGGGCAGGATGAAGAAAAGAAGCTCAAATCCCAAAGGCCCATGTTTTGTTTCTCCAGGCCTTCTTCTCTCCTCCATGTGTGAAGGGAACTGCTGCACTAGGGTGGAAAAAGGAAGCTTGGATTTTAGGATCTGAACTTCCTTTCTCCCCCATCTGCCACAGAAGTTTCCCTCCCCTCCATGCCCTAGCCCAGGGGTGTCAAACTCAATTTCATTGAGGGCCGCATCAGCACTGCGGTTGCCCTCGGTGGGGCCGGGTGGGTGCGGCCTACTGAGTGGGCATGGATGGAGTGGGTGTGGCCTACTGGGTGGGCGTGGCCAGCTCTACATCATTCGTGTCAAGGGTGCCTGTGGGGGCCTGGGCAGAAGTGGGACAGATCTGAGGGTCTCTGGCAGAAAGGGGTGGGACCAGGGCAGAGCCCATCAAGCCGGATATGTGAAGTAGGCGAGGGCCATTTGTTGGCCATTTCCAGGCGATGGTGCATTTCTTCATTCCTCAAAAAGGGTGACACCTCCCCAGCATGCACCCAGGGGTTGGGGCTGACGCAGCAGGGGCTGGTTCCCAGCTGTTTCTGGACGGTCTTGTGGAGTTAAGACTGAATGCATTTCAGCATAGATGGCCACCACAAAATTGTACAGTACATTGGCTCCCGGCCAGCCTGGGTCAGGGCCAAGGCAGTGGGGGCCGTTCCCTCACTGTTTCCAGGATCCCTTCGCGGGCCACATGAAACCACTTAGTGGGCCGCATCCAGTCCCCGGGCCTTGTGTTTGACATGTCTTCCCTAGCCTTTCCACCATTCAGAAACATTGCATTTGCTTGTTTTTCTGGCTAGAAAGCTAGCAAACACAGTGTTTCTGAAGGCAAGGAAGGCTGATCTTCAGGTTGTAAGCTTCTTTTCTCCAGCCCAGTGCTGAAATTCCCTTCTGCACATGGAATCTGAGCTTAATTTCTCCAGCCTGCTGGAGAAGTCCTCCCCCGCCATGCACAAAGGGGCAACAGTTTACAAACTTTCCTGTCAGCTTCCCCCCTTTTCTGACAGCTTTCCCATGGATTTTATGAGGAAACCAGCAGAGAAGATTTCAGATGATCGCAGAATACTTGGTAATCAGTTTTAAGCGCAAACAGGTTAATTTTTTGTATTTCTGTATTTTTGTATTTTGCATTTTTTGTATTGTGTGTATATTATTTGTTTTTAATATGCTGTGAACCGCCCTGAGTCCTATGGGAGAAGGGCGGTATACAAATTAAATTATCTATCTATCTATCTATCTAAATTCCTGAAATGCAATCAAATGACCATGTCGGGTGTAGCACTTATAACTTCAAGGGTGAGTCATAGCTAACTTTTTCTAAGTCCGTTGTAACTTCAAAAGGTCGTTAAAGCGACTGGTTGTAAGTTGAGGATTACCTGTATTGATAAATACAATATATAAGATTTTTTTCTTTTTCTTTAGTGTTTTGGGAGTTGTTTTTCCCCCTAACTTTCCTTTTTTTGTTTCTATTTTTTATTTTAAATTTAAATATTGTTTGGTTAATTGTTGATGTTAAAAATGTAAAATAAAATTTAAACAAAGATAAAAAGGTTATATATATATATATAAGTAATGCCTATTCTAGATATTATATAAACAGATTCACAAATCAAAACTTTCCTCATCCTTAACCTTGTTTTATATTGCCCAAAATAAAACTATGTACTGTATGTGTTTAAACAGGCACTTTCCTCTGTAGACAGATATTTTAAATAAAAAGGAACACATGGTTCTGTTAGTTCTTCCTTATAAACTAAATTTCATCAAACTTCAATTCTTTAATAAAATTCTTTAATTTCATTACCTTTGTTATGAAACTTTAAATTGTTCTATAGTTTTTAGTTTTAAGTATTCTGCCCTTTAGTTTGTATACTTTGATAGGAAAGTTGCCTTAGAACTTTATTGCAGAATAAGATAGACACACTAGAAAAAGAACAAAACATTTTGTGATCTCGTGATAAAATTTCCAGTGACTAGAAAAATGATCCACTCATATGATCTGTGAAAATAACAATGGGGCTAGGAAAAACATTTTCTACAATTGCAGCAATGAAACACGGCAAAATTTAGAATCATTCATGGGGACTTTCCAACCATGGTTCAGCAGAATATTTAGAACATTTATTTTATTATTTATGCATTTTATTAAATGTAGATGCTACCCAACTCTCAACAACTCTGGGCAGTTTCAGATTAAAAAATGTTAAAAGCAAGAAAAAAAAAATACAAAAGACAAAAAAGAGTGAAGATGGGAAGAGCAAGAAAGAAATGAAGGAAACAAAAGAAATAACCCAATGTAGTCCAAAGGAGGCTTCACTCACCCTGACTTAGGACTTGGGCAAAGAGCAAAGTTTTCAATTCCCCTCAAAACATTAGTAGGTTGGGAGCTGTCCATATTTTGGAGGAATCTCATTCCTGAGTACAGGTGCTGCTACAGAGAAGGTGCATTTTGGGGGTCCAACAGATGTCATTGTTTAATAAAAAAAATGGAGCATACCAACCCTTCCAAAACTAATTGGTTGGACAGATAGTATGGGAGACAGGCAGCCATGTAGGGCTTTATAGATTATGAACAGGACTTTGAATTTCACTCCAAAACAACAAGGCAACCAATGCAACTCACAAACCAAATGGTTTATTGAGGTATACCCATCATGCCCATAGCCAGGGCTTTTTTTCTCATAGAACGCCCAGAACGGAGTTCCGGCATCTTTTTTGGATGGAACCTTATAGGGTAGGCAAGGCAGGTTGTATGATGTGTGTGAGTTCCGGCACCTTTTTTTTAAAGAAAAAAAGCACTGCCCCTAGCACTTTGTCTTGGACCATTTGAAGTTTTCAAGTGTGGTTCAAGAGCAGCCCATGTAGATTGCATTGCAGACGTCAAGGCTTGAGGCGATCAGGGCATGAGTGACTGTAGGAAGGATTGTTAGTAGACTGTTCCAGATTTTTTTAAAAAAAACTGCCTATTCGTGTATATTCCTAAAGCAAACTGAATTTGGCAAAATATGTAAATATGAAAGAAGAAAAAATACAGAGAAGTAAGAATTAAAGAAAAAACACATCCCATAGAAGCTTTATTATACCTTAATGAAAAGCATCAAAGCAGTAATTAAAATAATTATACTTACCAGGCCACTTAAAGCTACAATCCAGATGTAAGACCCAGAGGTTAAAAGCTATAAAACAAAAATGTGTAATTTAAAATGGAATTTAGATTGCACAGTCCTTATGCTAATATTATTTCAACACTAACTGAAATACAGTAAAAGAGAGGATATCATAAATTACATTTTTTGTTTTTGTGCAATAAAGGGGCTCAAGTAATTGTTTAAATGTTATGAGTTTTGAGCAAGATTTGGTTCTGGAAGCAGAGCAACTGAAAAATCTGAATGAAGGCTGAATGGAATCTGAATAAAGCTGAATGAAAAAGTAGAACAAAAGGAGCTGAACATTTGCTGGGATTGCTAAGTTTTTTTATTGTAAAATTCAGTTTGATTTAATAAAACTCTTTTCTCCAGAATGTATTATGAAAACCAACTTCTTACAGTAAACATGTAAAAAAGTGCCTTTGTTTTTCATTAACCATCTATATATTCAAGAAAAAAACACAGCTTTTCAAAACAAATCAGGCAACAAAAATACCAAGAATATACCCTTGCTCAGAAACTTATTTTAACTTACTTTATACTATGATGCTTACATCAAATAGAGCAATACTAATTAGAGATGTCTGTCTGTCTGTTTATCTATCCATCCATCCATCCCGTATACAATGAAACAATTATTTATTCCTCCCTGACACTGCTGCAAAAAGAACTGAAAATGAATATGTAACAAACTAAAAATGGCCAACTGCATTTTTCAGACTAACAGAAAGAGAATTAGGAAGAGTTGTTCAAAACTTTGCACACTACCTTCAAAATCCAAACTATATTATGTCTATCTTCCATTTTTTTAAAATAAAACTTGCAATGTACAAAACACAAAATTTATCATATGTCAGATATTTAATTATTCTGCAAGAGAGATAACAGCATGATCTCAATTGCTGGCAGAATGAAAGAAAGAGTTATTTTTAACGGCATCTATCAGTTTGTTATGATAAGATTGGAAAGCAAAGAAAGTGAAGCTATGATAATATCTAGAAAAATGTCAAGAATTGCTCTGCCTTTGCTGTAAGATGGAAATGCTTAATTAAGTAAGGAGTTGCAAAACATATTGGTCTGAATATTTAGGGAAGTGTAAAAGTGTCATCCAGACTAAATCCATATTAATAGCCTGATCTGAAAGGCTGTTTGCCAATGAAAAGCCATAGTTTATTATTGAAGTAGCTATCTGTCAAACAGATTACCTAAGAATTATAGAATTATTTAAAAATGGAAGAAACAGAAGACAGGCATCTCCCCAACATAAAATATTCTCTTAGGTGTGTTTTTAAAAAATAAAATTGTAGGGTAACACATTTATTAATAAGGGAATAAATAATAAACAAATGAATTCATTAGTCTAGGATGGAAGTTTGAGTTCTATAGGAAATTTTAAACTATTTTAATCTATTACAAAATAAAATACTAAAAGCATACTGAAAATTGGTTTCCCCATTGCTAGCAATTAAAAGTGGGGTAAAGCTATGGGATGTATTAAGGTTTAACTTTACTCACATGCAAGATAGATATGTATTGAATATCATCATTAAGCTCATATTGCTACCTGTATCAATTTACTGGGCATCTGCAGATTTACGCTACAGTGTTTAGTGCATTTTTAAAAATCAGTTTTGGAATTTTTAGGACTAAATATTTGGAAATAAGGGTTATTGATCCAGGAGTTTCTAGAAAATAGTGGGTGCAAATTGAAAATGCAGAACTGCTAAATTAAGGCAAAACAAATTAACACATACAAACCTGCAAACCCAATATATAAACCAGCGTCTTGTTTGTGATGGAAAATTGTCCTAGAATTTGTGTCACTTGTACTCTTGGAATGGAGGAATAAAATGGAACAAAAAGAGCAAATACAGGCCCCAAGCTGTTGAGACAAAATATATGCAAAAATGGAATATCAACAGAATTCTTACAGAAAGTATTAACTCTCTTCCTTAACTATTTTGAACAATCAAATGCATCTTAGTACATTTTAAAGTATTAAATACTGTAGCCAGTTTACTAACAGATACATTTTAAATACCACAAAAGATATTTGAATACTGCATACAAGTGATAGTTTTAAGAGAAGAGAATATGTAATAGGTAGAACTGTGGAGTCCTTGTGGTGCACTGATAATGTTATCTAGTTGGGTAACAAAATGTCTGCAAGCAAGCAACCAAATTCAGAGGCCACCAATGACTCCACAAACAATAATTTATAGTGAGCTGCTACTTTGACATACAAGTAAATACTGCAAGAAATCAAATGAAAATCAATGCAAATGATATTTTCTTTTAATTATTCAAGTTCTGTATATTTATTTAAAATACTTATATGGCCACCCATCTTATGGGTGACTCACAGCAAAAATAATAAATCATAAAGAAGAAATCAGTAATGCTAACATCAAATCTCATGGTACCCAGTCCCACCACATTTTTGTACATTTGTTGGATCCAATCTCCCTCTAGCCCAGACATGTCAAACTCGCGACATTACATGAAGTCGCACAACATATCGGGACGGTTTTGCCATTGCCGGCAATGGGGTGGGCGCGGCTTCCAGATGATGCGTCTGGCCCGTGGGCCGGCAGTTTGACACCCCTGCTCTAGCCTGATGCTTTCATATTCAGACAATGTGAGTCAGGTTTTGGTTCAGTAGGTTGCATAAACCCAAGCAATTTGTTAGCATATTATGGAAGTACTAAGCTATATATTATGACTCAGTTTGATTAAACCCTTCTTTTCCTCTTCTCTGTACAGTGTTGAATTTAGACAATAATTTTAATTTTTGTGTCTGTATAATAGATAGTTTCAGATATTTCATAAGTTTTAAATGTCAAGTATGGTCAACAGGATTTTAAAAAGGCAGTTTTCCCCAACTTAACTTCTTAATGAGGGGAAAATTCCACTGATAGATTGTTAATTCTGATAGCTTTTTTAACACCACAGCATTCTTATTCTACTTTAACATCAAAACAACTTTTTTCTCCCTTTCTCTCGTTTCACCACACAATGTGCAGCAAATTTAAAAACAGATTTCTTAGATCTTTCTCTTTAACACACTCCCCAGCATCACAAAAGGCTGCTGTTTCTTGTTCATCTATGATTCCCAGCATCTTCATTATAAGAAGCTGGAGAGGATTCTGAGATGCATGCTGCTGCCAAAAATGAGGAAAAGAAAGAATGGGAAACCAGTTCTTCTTATTTGTCACACTTCTTGTCACATAGCCACAGACATACATTTCCTGATCTTTCGCAGCTGACCATTCTTTTCCTGAGAAATCTCTCTACCACAGGCCAACAAAATGGGAAAAGGGAAAAGGCCAGATGGATATCTTTAAAATAGTTGTGGGTCATAGAGGAATAGCTGGTGTGCTGATCAGTTGTTTGGAGACTACCAATGCAGCAGTATCAGCTAGCAGTATCCATGAGACCTGAAGGTATTTGGCAGCATATCTTTTGTGGTGGAAGAAACTGCAAAAAACTAGGCGGCAGCAAATCCTTCTTACCAGTGCGATGTTTGATGGCAGTGGATTGGTTTTTTTTTTTTTTTACAATGGTGTAATAGTAGGTGGGATGACCTTGAAAGACAAGAGAAGACTCATAGACCAGACAATGGTCTGGTATCTGAGTCTGCAGAAAGAACAGGGGCATGACAAATGTCTTAAAGGAGGCCTCCCTAGTTTCTTGGGGGAAAGATGTACAGTACTTTCAGACTTGCAAGGTTCTGTTAATGTCATCTGCAATAAAGTTAGGGCTAGGACTTCTGGTGTGGACTACCTCACAAGGTTGACAACCACTGGACTGCCATATGCATCCTATGGGCCATCTGTTGTGTAATCTGCTCTATAGGAATATTTCTATCGTCAAACTGGTCTTGTGGGAAATCTTTGATCCGAGCTATATCAGTATACTTGTTCATCTAACTTGAACATTGCACTCATACAATGGTGTAATGGCTGGGAAAATGTGAACTAAGAAATTTCTCTTCTACTTTGTTCATGAACTTATAAGAGCTTAGAGAAGTTACTAGAAGCGTCTGCATGATATGCTTAACCCAGGAAGCTGGAACCATACAGTACAATAACAGTTGTCTTACACAAACAGAAGCAATTAAAATATGTCACTTTCTACCATTGCTGGTTTTCATGGACCATTTAGAAAAAACAACAGTAACCTGATGACACAACTGCCAAAAGAGATGGGGTGGCTTATCATTTCCATAACCTTCTGCCCTTATTCTCCAATCCATTGGGCAGTGGGAGAATGAAAAGTAATATGGAAAAGAAACAGTATTGGCATAGCAATCTTCTTTTTGTGAGTCAATCTAGGATATCTGTCAACATTAGAGTGATTTAACTCTCTTATCCATATTTGTATAACACAGTTGACTGACAAAGGTTTAGTCCCACCAACCCTAAACCTGTTATGGGTTAAAACTAACTCCTCAAACTTGTTAATAAATACCGCAATTCATTTATCACACTACCTCTTTTTTGACTCAGTTAAACATGCCCTGCAAACAAGACTACTCATACATTTTTCCAGATTAATCAGATTTCTTTTCTTTTAATGTCTGGTGGCTAGCAACAAAACTCTGGCTTACAACTAGCCTGTCCTCTTCATCTGAAAAGCGTTGTGGGATTTTGTCAGAGTCAAGGACATTCAGGAGATTGGAACATTAAAAAGTTCAATTTCCTAAGTTTAAAAAACATTAATTAATATCAGAATGTCAAGGGCTCTGGTAGATATTGTGGTGCTAACAGTATCACACTACTGATAAATGTATGTAGACAAAATATGTATACCCGTGTTTTGTACTAGCAAACTATCATTTCTCACAAATCTAATAATATGCCTAATTATATACGTACCGTCGTACTTCCAAAAACACATAAATCCATCATATTGGAAACTGTTATCCAAGAGTTATTTTTTTATGTTTCTCAATATGTATAATGTTTTTCTACCCTCATTGTCTAACTGAAGTGCACTGTTGGGGCCCCCACTGAAATTTAATATTCTTTAATAAGCCTTGACTTGGACATATCCTGGCCTGTGACCATAATAAATATTTGATTTGATCTGAATAAGCCTTGACAAAAACACAAGTATTATTTATTTATTTTGTGTCCAAAACGGCAAGTGAAACCTGATGTATTGGTTTAATAGAAAAGAATTATTGTTCTTATCTCACAAAATCTCAAGTTCCATCTAACAAAATACTTACTGAATGATAGAGCTAAAGCTATTATGTATCTTCCCATTTGTGTATTATAGAATATGCTCAAAATACAGCAAAGAAATTGTATTTCCTGGAAACTAGACTGTTGCACTGGCTGTGTTTTAGGTATTTTCATTCTCACTCCAGCATGCTTCTTTTGGTCTCTCCTGCACTGAATTTGTGTCTTATCTTTGCCCAACTACACAATTAACTATTCTGCATTAACATAACATTTTTTCCCATTAATAGCCTTTGGCAACATTCTTGTAGGCTAGTCTAGAAATATGTATCATTCATATATAATCCAATACAAATATAGCATGGGAAATGCACAGTTTAGTTTAAAAATACAACTGGTCCATAGGAAAGGACAGTCATCCTCTCCCCTGACAATGAGCAGGAAGTGAGGAAAATCTAAAGAAAAACTGTCAGCTGAAATGTGAAATGTGAAATGTGAATGGATAGGGTGCATTAAAATGAAACACACAAATGTCCCAATTACATCTAAGTTTGATCTTTGGTTTTCAAAAGATGCTATCATTGTAAGATTGGGACTGGAAACCTCTGCCCCTTTCACAGCAAGAAAAGCTCACAATACTTGCAACAGCAGCAACAGCAACAGCAAACACTGAACATTATATACTTTCACCTTATTTTGCGAAATACCGGTAGTTATTTTGCTCCTTCTTTCTGCATTACTTATGTCTACAAAGGCTACTATTCTATCTGGGTTGTGTTAACCAGAACACTAGATGCTTCAGGTTTAGAGAGAGGAAATGCCTCATCTCTATAAAAGGGCAGTGTGACCTAATCAGTCTTAAGAACAATATACCAAAGGGGAAACAGTTGCATATGAAATGTACTGCAACAAGGAACACAGCAGAGAACTTAATGAAGTAGCAAAACGTAAGTACAGATAACATTTTTTCTATAGATTAATTATTGTAAAATATGAATATTTATCAAACTTCAGTAGTTCATCAAAGCAAACAAATGAACTACCAACTGGGCAGCAGGCTTTTATTCTGGGATTATAATTAACTTTTATTTGAATAGCAAAAATATAAGGATTAACTACATCTAACTATAAAAACAATTCATCATAGGCAAAGCAAAAGGTCTCAGAGACAATTTGCTTTAAGTTGTTTTGGTTTTGCTCTAAGATAAACATTATTAAAAATAAAACGTAAACTTTGAAATTCCCTTTCAGTGCTTAAAATGTCATACAGTTCACCCCTCCATTAAAATGTTTTATTTTATTTCATCTTTATATGGCATTAGACATTTGGAAAAATCATCTTGGTTTTTTTAGAATATTGTATATAGTCAAAGTTCTGCCCATTGAACAGGGTGCTGTCTATTCCCATTTAATTGGTCCTGGAATCATTATAAGCTGGACTAACAGAATCCCTATAGTATCTTTCTGGACAGTTAATTGAACCAAAAATACTTGAAAGATCTTAAAAAGGCAGAATTATGGGGGGCTGATTCCATGTTTTTGGGAACATGCTGGAATGAAGCATATTGGTGACACTTATTTATCTAACAAATTTCTCTTTCAGGATAATTTTAATTTGAAAATTGTAGATATTCTTTGGGGGGGAAAGTCATGGAAAAGCATCCAATCTTTGGACCAGGTTATTGCTAATCAAGCCTTTAATTCACCTGAGTCTTCTGTCAGAAGAGATTAGATTGCTGAAAATTGCCCCTGGAGTATACTTAGTTAAAATTTAGCTTGATTTCACAATTTGGTCCAGATGCATCAGTAGTATATAAACTCCAAAATTATTGTCAATATTAGTATATAAATCTTTTGCATGATATTAACAGTTTAAAAGTGAAAAATTAATGAATAAGAGTTAAGGTAGATACTAGCAACAACTCTGGGATAACAAGTTGAAAGAAATTCAATAGTAGGGGTTTAAAAGAATACAGAATATGCTTCTTGTGATGTTACAACAATTAGAAAAACTTTCAGTTTAATTGGACACCTCAGAGAATGTTTTTAAAAAGTTGGCGGTCAACCTCAGTATGTTGCAAGTGCAGAGTGGTTGAGAGGACACATTCATTTATGATATAAGCTTCTCCTAATGTTGCCAATTTTGGTTTAATATCCATAAGACTGATAATATGTTGTTTACAATATGGTTTATAGATCTGAATGTATTCTTGATCTGTATACCAAGCATTTGGAATTTATATGAAGAACTATGGCTTTACAGACTGATCTTTTCAGCAAAAGATGCTGCAAACACAATGCTGAAAATGCGTTCAACTCCAGGTTTACCATTCCTGGATCAATCACATATAAACACTTCTGCCTAATTTGTTTTCTGACAGTATAATGGAAAGATTAACCATTATTATTCTGCATGATTAAGGACTAATGATGGGCTTACTGACTTCCTCTGTATAAAATATATTTCTCTTTTTATTTTTTCTGATGGTTTTTCTTTTTTTTTCTTTTAATTAAAGCAGTTAAAATGTACTGTATCACATACATTTTACCTTTACGTTAACATTTATCATTTCCAAATAACAGTGTTCATTTATAGAATTTAACTTCAATGCATATAGTGTAGTTTCATGGAATTTTATTCTGACAAAATTGCAAATATATCTTTCAAGAAACTCTTACTATTATAAAAAAACATAGACTCAAGTTTGACAGCTAAGTATCAGTTTAAAGGACTAATTAACATCTATGTTATAGAATTATATCCCATAGCTATTATTATTAAAGACACAAGTTTTATACAGGTTAAAGATTTAAAACAGGATGCTTTTACTTCCCATCAACCATTTTCATATAAAAACAAACAGAATGATCTGCTTTTGAAATTTAAATAAATTGATTTATTAACATTTTGAGATTGGGTAAAACACAACAAAGCAAGAATAATTAAAAGCCATAAACATAAAATAAAAATGTCTGAATGCCAACAAAAAGTAACTGTCTTATGTATGAAAAATTGATATAACAATGTTATATTGAAAAATTGAAAAGAAGAGCAGCAAGCAAAAGAAAGTTATAGTTCCCTGCCACTCTGGCTCCTCTTTACTTTTATGGTTTTGGGTGAGCAGTTCCATGTTAGCTAACAGACTGAGCTGACAGGATTATTGTTATGCAACAACATTTCTAACATTACTTCTAATATTATAAAGTTATAACTACTAAAATCCCATACATTAGAGTTAACAATATACTAAAATTTGGAGAAAGCAGGGGAAACCAGGAGATTCAGATAATTCAAATGAGTATAAAGATTTATTGCAAGCTGAAGCTCTCTACAAAAACCTGACCTACTAACGGTCAAGGGGAATGACTGGGAATAAGAAGGCATACAAGATGGGCTGCACTTAGATGTCTTGCAGGTGTGCAGGGACTCGTGACTTATGATGCTTTTGACCCCTCCCTCAGACTCAGCCTGGTCATCTCCTACATCATACTGGAAATTTGTTTTACATTAAGAGCATCCAATGCCCATATATAGCTATGGCAATATATCCTCTTTCTTCCTTTTCTTTATTCGTTGTCCTTATTTCTCACCTGTTTCTAAAATAATATTAAATTAAATTTAAAAATTAAAATAATATAAAATACAAGTCCTGCAACCCATTCATTTCAACAGGCCTTGTTCCTTATTCCAGAATACACATCTACAATGGTTAAGTTCAAAAGTAAACTCAGTATAAAGTGGACTAATATCCTGCTTACATTAATAATGCTGTAAGAATGGTGTAATACTGTTAAGCAATTCGGTTTGCTAATTGTACACTAGATAGAACAAAATAAAAGAAATCATGAAAGCCTGGAAATGAAAAGACCTGAAACTCATTTGGTCTTTATAACTATCTCCCTTGCTGCTGCTCAGTCTACTAATCCAATATATCTTATTTTTAAGGTTATTTTTAGTTTTAGATGATTTATTTATTGTTGTGCTTTAAAACTGTAGGCTACCTCAGTTAGTTTTTACAATAGAAAAAGGGTATTTGTGATAAATAATGAGCAGAGACCTTTAATTTGGACACAGTCAACTTCTTAAGCATGTAAAATATTTCTAATATTGAAATCCAGTCAATGGAGAAAAGTTAACATTAACTAAAACAAAAAATCCAAATGCCATATAATTTATATGACAGCACAAAATAGAACTTCAATATTTAATAGTATTTTTATTACTTCCCTAACATTTTAATCACCAATCATTATCTCCCTATTATTTATCTCTTTATTTAATTCAGCCTAGGTGCCACACATTTCCAAATTGATTCTAGATGACTTTTTTGGGCGGAGGGAGAGAGGAAAGGATTCTGTGATATTTCATTTCCAGAAAACATATTTTTCTATTCATAACTTTATATCTTTATTTATTAAGCTGAACCTAAGAGAGCACATGTATTAATACTTAAGAAACTACAGGGCAGCTGTTGTCGGTTTTTAAATTATTGCTATCATCTTATTTTAAAATTACCCTATGATTACCTAACAATGTTAAATCAAAAAATCATTTGCCTATTAACAAGATGGAATTTTGTTTTGTTTTTGAAATGAAGAAATAATTTCATACTATCTAATTTCTGAACTTCTAAACTGCTTAGCTAGCTATTAAAAAAACAGAACATTTGAATTCAGCCTAACATCTTTCTGTTCCTTCTTTTGTCACTTTTTCTAGGCCTTCTGAATTTCGAGTCATATTAACCATGGCAACAAACTTAGCCTCTCCATCTTCTATAACAAATCAAACTTGTGATTTATATGAACATGAAGATTCAGCAAGGATTTTATTGCCTACCGTCTACAGTGTTATTTTCATAATTGGAGTACTTGGAAATGGACTTGCTCTCGCTGTGATTGTAAAAAATAGGAAAAAAATGAATTCGACCACTATTTACTCAACAAATCTTGTTGTGTCAGACATTCTTTTTACAACAGCTTTACCTACAAGAATAGCATACTATGCACTGGGTTTTCACTGGCCGTTTGGAGAGGTACTCTGTAAAATTACAGCCCTATTCTTTTATATCAACATTTATGCAGCTGTGAATTTTATGACATGCTTGAGTATCGACAGATTTGTAGCTGTGGTTCATCCTTTAAAAACCAAGTTCAGAACAGTTAAAAGTGCCACATACATTTTTTGCTTTGTGTGGTTTCTTGTACTTGCCCAAACTCTCCCATTACTTACACTACCCATGTCACGTAAAGAAGAAAAAAGGACCACGTGCATGGAATATCCAAACTTTGAACAAATTAAACAACTCCCTCTGATGCTTCTAGGTGCCTGTTTACTTGGATATGTGGTTCCTCTTGGAATTACAATAATCTGTTATTCAAAAATCAGTTACAAACTCTGTCAAACTGCAAAACAAAACCCACTAGCAGAAAAATCAGGAACAAACAAAAAGGCAATTAATATAATTATCTTCATCATTGTTGTATTTGTAATCTGTCTTACTCCCTATCATCTTGCCATTATTATATACATGATTAAGAAGCTTGTACAAGGAAATATTTTATGCAGCCATCAAAAGATCTTTCAAAAATCTCTCCACTATACTGTGCTCCTGATGAACTTAAATTGCTGCATGGATCCTTTCATCTATTTCTTTGCTTGCAGAGGATACAAAAGGACAATAATGAAAATACTGAGGCGTCAAGGAAGCATTTCAGAATCAAGTGCTGCCAGAACTGTTCCTGATGAAAGCTCCCGGGATGTTGGCGACACACAACTAGCTCCCCTTTCAGCATCTTTAAATGGAAAAAGGTTAACACAAGCCCTTACATTTTGAACATGCCTCCAGAATCTTGATTTCAAAAATGCTGGAAACAGCAATAATCCTCATAACAAGAAAGGCAAAGAAAGAAGAAAGAGAAATCCAATTGTACATTTTAAAAAAAATCTACAAATTTGATTTTTCAGGAGTGAAGCTGAGGATGGATTATGCAACATACCATTACCACAGATCATTTGATTTAATAATATTTAGGGTTTTCCAATATTTTTTTTATCTTGCTCTCGTGTTTTTTTCTCCCTGCAAAGGTCATATGTATTGTGTATTTCTATTTTGGGATACTAGTACCCAAGTTCTCAGGAGAAAGCAACTAGTTTAATGGGTTTAAATAATTGGACTCTAAACCTCAGATAGGCAAAATAACAAGTAACAGATATGTAAAAGGGAATATTTAACATTTTCTTTTTCATATCTGTATATGAAATACATTTATTTATATAATAACCTATATAAAATCATTTAATTATAAACAGTTTTGTTTCTCAGGAGGAAGTGTGTAGCTAGCTTTAGGTAATTTACTATATTGTTAGAAAATAATCCCCAAGCTTTTAAATAACTTATTGAACACTGGATCCTATGTTTGGTTTGATTATTCCATGATAATTTTAAGATATATCACAGTGATGGCGAACCTTTTAGAGACCAAGTGCCCAAACTGCAACCCAAAACCCACTTATGCATCATTGGGTGCTGGGTGGGTGTGGCCTATTGGGTGGGTGTGGCCCATTGGGTGGGCATGGCTGCGGTGGTAACAGCAGACTGGGTGCGACTAAAAAGTTCAATCAATCAATTCCAACTTTGCAAGATGTTTTTTTTTTCCACGAGAAGTTGAAATTGATTGATTGATTGAACCTTTTTTTTTTGTACATGGCGGCGGAGGCCTAAAGCGAAAAGGTTTTATAAAACCCAGCTGAAGGCCTAGGACTGGGATGACAGCGCGCGTGCCCACCGAGAGGGCTCTGAGTGCCGCCTCTGGCACCCGTGCCATAGGTTCGCCACCACTGATATATCACCTACGTAGTTTAAAGGTCATGTAACAAAAGCAGCTGAAAAGCAGCTCTAGGATGGAAGGCTGAAAGTCTCAAACCTCTCACAGAAGCCCACTCTCTCTTGCCTTGAGGCAGTCGCTTGCAATTTCTGCGAGTGCTTCACTTTGTCTCCTTTCCCAAATAATAAATATAAGGATTTTACAACCTCTTCCACCTTTCTGTCTATTAAAAGATAAAAATGGTTAAAAAAAGGTTAGAAGGTAAATGGATGAAATAAGCTGAACTGTACCACTTTCTAGTTTAACAATGAAGAGGTGCATGGCTAGAAGGTTTAGCACTTAGATGTGCTAGCATTTAGATGGGGGAGGCCAATCTCATAAGAGATAAAGAAAATCAAACATTACTTTAAAAATTATTCAATATTTCAACTTCAAGTATCAACATTTTCTTTTGGAAAAAGCAGATACACCCACTCCTTCTTTAGTGATCTCAGTTAGCAACTATTCACAAATACAAAGGTAATAAAATTCATTTTCTGACCAATGCATGCATTTACAAACAAATTTTGTGCTTCTGACAACACATGCCATAATGAGAGTAATACTGACTTAGCTGTGCAACAGAATTTTATCTGAATGAAACAACAGCAATCAGTGATCTCTCTATCATGTGTTCACTTAGTGACCATTTCGTTTAATGATCTGATCGCTAGAATGGAACATGGTCGCTAAACAATAAGTGGGTGTACCTCCCCCAAGAAAGAATACACATGAATAATTCCTTGTGTGTTCAATCGCACTCGGCCAATAAAAAATTCTAATTCTTACTGTGTTAATAGTCAGGCAACTGACAATATGATGCCTATCTAGGGATAAAAGAACAATGTCTAACTACCTAACATAGGGCTATTATTCTTGGGCTACAAAGTCGGTGTAACTACAGGTAGTCCTTGACTTACAACTGTTCATTTAGTCACTGTTCAAAGTTACAACGGCACTGAAAAAAGTGACTTATAATTCTTTCACACTTACAATCATTGCAGTATCCCCATGGTCATGTGATTAAAATTAAGATGTTTGGCAACTGACTCATATTTATGACAGTTGTAGTGTCTTGGGGTCATGTGATCACCTTTTGTGACTTTCTCTCAACGTCAGTGGGGAAGCCAAATTCACTTAACAACCATGTTACTAACTTAACAACAGCAGTGATTCACTTAACAACTGTGGCAAAAAAGGTTGTAACATGGAGCAAAATTCACTAAGCACTATCTTGCTTAGCAGGGGAACTTCTGGGCTCAGTTGTGGTTGTCAATTGTATAGACAACAGCAATCTATTGATTTCCTCAGCTCCAATAAGGTGGTCCTATTTATCAACAATGCAGATCAAAAATATATTTTACACATATATTCAAATATGTGTATCTGAATCTATAAATATGCTTCATGCTGACATAGAGCTAAGAACAGTTGGACAGATCAATCAAAAGGCAATCAAAAGAAACCATACTAAGATAATATTGTAGAAAATATTTTTTTCCCTATTTAGTGGGAAGCCAGTCAGTGATCTATCCAACAAAAAAACTGTAATTGGTTAGTTTCTATAATTATGTAACAAACAAAATGGAGAAGTAGGGAGAGTAACTTTATCTTCTGCAATATCTGCTGTCAAGAATTCTTTGTTGCAATCTTGTTTTAGGACCGGTTTGTTTTGCATCAGTTTGTTCCTCTTTATCTTAATCACAGAACTGTTTGTATCGTTTCTATATGGTGCTCTTCTCTTTCATAATAAGGCTATTCTTTCTTGAGTGGCCTTGTTCTTGTAAACCCAATAATATATATGGATTGCTTTGTTTTTACTGGGACTAACAGAGATAAGATGTAAAAAATAAGCATTTTTTAAAAAGTTCCAAGTATTTCATAAAATAATACTTTGGTTCCTGAGTGGTTAGGTGCAAAATTCAAATTTATGCATGAATTGAAAATTTCAGTAAAGGGGGAAAACCTAGAACAGGAGTGTCAAACTGCTGGCTTGCAGGCCGGACATGTCATCGGGAAACCACGCCCACCCCATTGCCAGCAATGGCAAAAAAGCTACGATACATTGCGCGACATCATGTGACATTGCGAGTTTGACATGTCTGACCTAGAAAGACAACTGACATAACAGTGATTTTATCTGTATATTGCTAAAACACTTGTGTCTGTTTGATACTTTGCAATCTTCAACTGGGTGAAATGCTGCAATATAGAGCAAACCTTTGCCAACAAAAGGCAAAGTTACCTCAAATGGACTAACTTACAGAAGGCCAAGATCCATTACTCCTGAGGAAGTGAAATTTGTGGAATTTTTTGCCACCTTAGCATAGCTGCCATAGTACTATGAAAAGCTGCGTTCATGTGACCCCCATTTTCAATGTTTCCTTACAGCCTCCGCACAAGCCATGGAGAACCCAGAAGGAACTGATATGGCTGCCGATTCTCCTACATTTCTAGTCACCTTCATACAAGCAAAGTTGTTCCTTGTGGGAAGCTTGCAGGGAGAAAGTCAATGAGGAAATGGTCCAGTCCTTCTGCACTCATACTGAACCAACTATTTGTGCACTCCCTTGCTCCTTCCCCCACCCGGCAGAAGCCATTTACCTGCTGGTAGGGCAGGGCAGGTCAAGGAAAGGAAGATTTCCAATACTGACTACCAATTTCTCACAAGGAAACTCAATGGGGAAGATAACAGGAAATTGGAAGTCACTCCCAGTTCCACTGATTTTTTCTAATTTTTTATTCACCCTATTGTTATTCTGTTTCTCTGCTTAGGTAAAGAAATATGTCTGAAATGATGACCAAATGTATAATGGGTTGTATAGTTGTAATTAATATTATATTTAACATCTGTCCATAAATACAAGTTACTATGATATGAAGAAGTAGTTGGTTTAATAACCCATTAACTTTCCTGTTAAGCTGCTCAGAGGAAAAATATTTGATGGCACAGTAAAAATTTGCTGGTATGTTTCATGAAGGGAGTGTTTACTCTCATGTAATAAACATTTGTCGATTGTACCTAAAATTAGTTGCTCAACAACGAAAATAGGACAGTTGTCTTTGCAGGTGTAGCCCTGCAGCAGGAAATAAAGGAACAGAAATCAATGGAGTTATTACTTCTCCTTGCATTTTTCTTTTATTTAATATGGGGGTGGGGGTGGGGGGGGTGGGCGGTCAGTGTCTAAACATCTGTTCTCAATTAGAAAAAAACCAATACAGTACTATATTGAAGAAAATATCACTTAAAGTTAATGCAATGTATAATCTTTTATGGGTGTTTAAACTACACTTACAATTGAATTTTTCATATCAAAAACTGTCTGAAAAAAGCTGTAATTATATCTGTTATCAGGCCCATAGATTTAAAAAGTATTCAGCAAAATAAAGTATCTTCAAAAATTATCTTCATTCCCATTATTTTTCTGAATGTCAATGAGAGCCTTATGGAAAAAAAACTGAGTGATTATCAAATACCTCACTGAAGTTTCTGTTTTTTTGGTTAACTATTTACTCTTATTGGGTCAATACTGTAATTGAACCAGTCTCAGTTATCTCCACCAAGTCCTTAGTTTCTTTCACAAATTTACTCCAAAGAAATGTGAGTTTTCCTAATCAACTTGATAAATTTCTTTTTTCTCCAGCAGTTTTAATCAGCTTAATGTCTATGGACATTCTCAGTCATCTAGGTCATGGTTGTCCCAAAGGAGCTTTTTCAAGAGGCAATTGGACTTGTTTTTCTTTGAAGACGTTTTGCTTCTCTTCCAAGAAGCTTCTTCAGCTCTGACTGGATGGTGGGAAAAGGATTTATATTCCTTACAGACAGCTGGTCATTTACATTATTTTAGAGTTGTTGAGGCCACTTGGAGGTTTATCTATGTCCTCAGGGTCACCTGAATGGTGCAAATGGGTGTGGAGCCTTCTTCGAACTGCTGAAAGGACTGTGTTGTAGGCTGAAGTTAGATGCTGTCATATCCCCCCCCTCTATTGAAAGAGGGCTGTTCAATTTTGACATAGATGGCCTCTTTGAGCCCTCTTTCAAACCAGCAGTCCTCTCTGTCCAGAATGTGGACTTTGCTGTCTTCAAAAGAGTGGCCTTTTGTCTTTTAAATGCAGGTGGAGTGCTGAATCTTGTCCTGATGAGTTTTTTCTCCTATGCTGTGCCATGCATTTATAAAGTGGTTGTTTTGTTTCCCCAATGTACAGATCTGCATATGTCTCTGCATATACCAAGCAGTTCTAAGAAGATTCCACACTCTTTGAGGACACAGATAAATTTCCAAGTGGCCTCAACAACTCTCTAAAACAGTGGTTCTCAACCTGTGGGTCGGGACCCCATTTGGGGTCGATCGACCATTTCACGGGGTTCGCCAAGCAAGGCTGTCCGCCATTTTTTTTGTCCGCCATTTTTTTCTCCTTTTCCGGCGGGTGCCTTACCTCCCTTGGGCTGGGCCAGCTGGTGGTCGGCCTGCTCCGTCTCTGCCGCTTGCCAGCTACGCCTCGGCCGGCGCAGGGGGCGGAACCACGCATGCGCGGTGCTCCCGGGCAGGGAAAGTCCTCGACTTACGACCGGTTTAGTCCTCGACTTACAACCGGTTTAGTCCTCGACTTACGACTGGTTGGGGTCGTGGCATTAAAAAGGTTGAGAACCACTGCTCTAAAAGAATGCAAATGATCAGCTGTCTGCCAGGAATATAAATCCTTCCATTCCCCAGCATCCAGTCAGAGTTGAAGAAACTTCTTGGATGAGAAACGAAATGTCTTCAAAGACAAAAACAAGTCCAGTTGCCTCTTGAAAAAGCACCCTTTGGATTTTAATCAGCTTGTTCCTGTGCATTTGGGGGGATAAATATATTTACTTATCTGAAATGAGACATTTCACCAACTCAAAATGCTATATATAGATATATAAAAGCAATAAACAACAATCAGCATGATGTATTCTTTTTTAAAAAACAGAATCCTAAAAACTAAGTCTTTTAGACTTAGTAACAGTGAGATATAACTTTATAAAGCCAATGCTGATCTTGCCTCATCTACAGTATATGGACAAGAAATCGGCATCTTACTCCTGCTCCTTTTAAAAAACTACCTCAAAAAATAAATTTTATTTGGTAATTTCTTGTCAGAACTCTAGAAATGTCCATTGGCACAGAGTTCATACAAGCAGCATAAAAACTAGCCAAAGGATATGCACTTAAGATATAATTACAATATTTATTTTTAGGTATTTCTATTACTTGGCAATGCCCTTTGTATTATCATTAATATAGGTAACAGTGTTTATCTATAAATGTAAATAAAATGTAATGGCTTAGGATTCAGCCATTTGCCTACTATTTACTTTCTTGCTAATGCTAGCAAAGCATTAGAATTTAATTAGTTAATATTTATTAATTATTAATTTATTTAGATGGTATACAATGCATCAGAGGAGTGCAAAATGCTGATATCTGAAAGCAGTATTTTATAACTGTCCCTTATGGTTTCATCATGCACGAAAAAGGAAGGAAGTTTAGTGACGAAGACTGTTGGAAAGGAGATGGTCTGAAAAACAGAAAAACCAAATGTAGACATACAATTGGCAAAACATCAGCAACATGCCCAGCTGTGATCAGTGAACCAGATCTACAGATAAGTTAATAATCAGCAAAGCAGTACTAATTATTAAGTGTAAAATAGTCATTAATCCTATCTGATTAGCAGTTAAATTTGTATTGTCTGCAATCCATGAACTGCTCCCAGGGTCTATGTGGCTCCATCACTACTTGTATATCTAAATTTGGTAGCAAATTTCAATATTTTCCCTATTTTGGGATAATGGACCATAAAATTAACAAGAACACTAAGCCTTTGTGAAGTTTAACACAGGTACTCCTCGACTTAAGACCACAATTGAGCCCAAAATTTCCTTGCTAAGCAATAGTTGTTAAGTGAGCTTTGCCCCATTTTACGACCTTTCTTGCCATGTTAAGTGAATCACTGAAGTTGTTAAGTTAGTAACATGGTTAGTAAGTGAATCTGGCTCCCCATTGACTTTGCTTGTCAGAATGTTGTAAAAAAGTAATCAATCACATGATCCAGGGACACTATAACCATCTTAAATATGTGTCAGTTGCCAAACATCCAAATTTTGATCACATGACCATGGGGATGCTGAAATGTTTGTAAGTGTGAAAAATGGTCAGAAGTCACTTTTTTCAGTGCTGTTGTAACTCTGAACAGTCATTAAACGCATGGTTGTAAGTCAAGGACTTGCACATATTTTGCATATAAAAAACAAAGCATACAATTCCCTTCCACTCTTCCCACCCAGGTGAAAATTTTATTCTCTACAGCCGTAATATCAAGTTATCAGTCATATATCCCTGCAGCAGAGAAATTGCTCATCTCAAGAATATATTTTTTTTAATGAAAAAGGTTAATTTTGCTTTAGATGTAGTAGGGGTAATTGTCCAAGAACCATTTTCTCTTCTCTTTTTTATAGAAGAAGAAATCTCTTCTAATGAGTTCTTTCCACTCTGCAGTTTTATTCCTTAAAAACATTGTATTATTGTACTTTTTACAAATATGTATCTGATTTAACTGTATCATATACAATATGGCACAAATAAGTGATGCACAGTAATCAACAGAATTGTGCAAGACTACTGACTAGTCTACTGACACAACTAGCTCCATAACTTAACTAAGTTTTAAGTGTTTGTTGTGGATGAAAAAAAAAACAGTATCTCACATCAAAATGTTCTGGAACAAAGATATCTTTTTAAAATAGTTTTGAGACATTCCATGGGGTAGTAGCCACTTGTTTAAAGAAACAAATATGCTCAAGTCCTAAATCAATTTTCTGGAGTCATTCCAGTAAGAACATGATGTTTGAAAAAATGAAGAATCCTACCTAGGCTATTTCTAAATGATACCTGAAGATGGTTCATCAGAATTGTTTGGATAACTCTTAATCTCTGCAGAAATGATTTTATAAAGAACCTCAGAAAAACAATAAAAGGAACACATCACCACCAGCCAAAATGCTTAAAAAGAAGTCAATGACCACATTTACCAAACAGAATAGTTCTGAGTCTTCTTCTCCCACTGAATTAATTCACCTCATGTGTTGGCAGCACACAAGTCAGGAGTACATTAAAGCTATCCTGACAGCCATTTTCTCAGGTCTCCTAGCCTCTGCAAGGGAAATTGATATTTCCTTTTAAGAGGAGTTTTGTTTTTTCTGAAGTGAAAACAAAAACATTGTGTGGCTGGTACTCTGTAGACAAAGATAGAGGGACTGCATTCAACCTATCTAATTGTTTTTCAACTTGTGAGACTTGGGCAAAAATAATTCAAATTGTGACAGAAATGGAAGACCTAAACAGGCCACATTTTTGCAGTTTCTCTAGGAATTTGCCACAATCATAGGAAGGACAGTTAACCATCAAGTCAGTCCTTTGAATTCCATATTTAATTTGCTCCAGATAAACCTAGGTCTGTGGTATTAAAACCAAAACTTTCTCTGGATTCTCTGAGTTAATCTGCCTGTTCTTCCTATTCATATGACCCTTTAGCCCTATCATCTCATGCCCTAGTTCAGCACATCATGTAAACATCACTAAGGATCCAGGATACAAAAGTAGATTGCTGAGATTTGAGAAAGCCAAATGCTTCAATGTTTTCTTTTGTTTGTATATATGCGTACAGGTGTACATGAGACAAGAATTCCATGTATTTTCTCCTCATACAATTACAAATTAGTGTTTTAACTGAATAGATTCTCTGCTAAATCATCCTTTCCAAATAGGGCCCCCTCAAAACCTACAGAAAACTAGATGGCACAGATTGGAGATCCTTCTAAATATTCTGCTGTAATGTATGTGGTAGCTATAGCAGTAGGATGTGGTTTGGGTTTCAAATCTTTTCTGAGAACTGCAAACAGATCTTGTGCCAAGTATCATTTATAAGGAGATATTAATCTGCAGCAAACAAGAAAAGGAAGTGAATTTGTTCTGAATAGAGCAGTGACAGTGAACCATTTGAGCTCAGCATGTCAAAAAAATCAGAAAATGCTAACTTGACTTTGCTGACCTCTCTCTCTCTCTCTCTCTCTCTCTCTCTCTC